GCTGACAGATTTGCTAATTGCATTAAGTATTGTAATTTAATTGATTTGGGCTTTAAAGGCAGTCGCTTTACATGGACTAATAAAAGTAGACATGGTAACACCATTCTAGAATGACTTGATCGTTTTTTAGCTAATTATGATTGGTTAACTTTATATCCAGAAGCAACAGTACAACACTTACCTCGAACGTATTCGGATCACTGTCCTCTATTAATCACATTAGAAGTCAGGCACCCTATACTTAGTAAGATTTTTAGATTTGAAACCATGTGGGCTTAACACCCTGAATTCCACCATTAAGTGCATCAAATTTGGTCTAACAACTCTTCCCTAATGGAAACTACTAACAAGTTCCAGGAAGCTGTCTCCCAATGGAATCATCATACCTTTTGAAATATTTTTCATCGCAAAAGGAAAATCCTAGCTAGATTAACAGGAATTCAATCTTCCATTCATTATCCAACTAGTATATTTCTCCAAAATCTTGAAACTCAACTGGCAAACGATTTTAGTAACATTCTTCGATTGGAAGAAGATTTTTGGAAATTAAAATCTAGATTATCTTGGCTAAACGAGGGTGACGCTAACACAAAATTTTTCCATATGTCAACACTTCATAGACGAAGAAAAAATAGAATAACCTCTCTAAAAGATTCCGTTGGCAATTGGACTTTTGACCAAGCTGAGATACAACATCAAATTATAACCTACTACCAAATTTTATTTACTATCGAACAATCACAATCCCTTAATATTCATAACGACTCTAATTCTTGCTTACTAAGTGCTACTGCTTTTCAAGCACTAGATGAGCCTCTTCATGACAATGAAATCAATCGTGCACATAGCTTTAAACCTTACAAAGCTCCAGGGCCTGACGGCCTGCATCCCTTCTTTTACCAAAAATACTGGCATGATGTCGATACTAAATTAAAATAATTTTGTCATAAAATTTTCAATACAAAGGTCATCCCCTCACATCTTAATCAGACCTATTTCTGCCTAATACCAAAAAGTTAGGCATGCTCGTACAATTCAGCAATATAGACCAATTAGTTTATGCAACATAATATATAAACTTATTAGTAAGATTTTAGTTAACAGACTTGAGCCCATTATCTCTTCAATAATATGTCCAATGCAAACAAGCTTTCAGCAAGGTAAGAGAGCTTCTGACAATGCCATAATAGTACAAGAAACACTAAATCATTTGGCAAAAATGAAAGGCAAGTCTAATTATATGTTAATAAAATTGGATCTTGAAAAAGCATTCGACAAACTAGAATGGTTTTTAATTAGGAAAACACTTCTTTACTTCAACATTCCATCGCCCATGATTAGATTAATCATGTCTTGTATCACTACTACCTCCACTTCTATTCTCATCAACGGCACACGTACCCCATATTTTACACCTTCAAGAGGAATTCGCCAGGGAGATCCTTTATCACCATACTTATTTATCATGTGTATGGAAATGTTTTCACGTAGTATTTCTTTATCAGTTGATTATCTTCAATGGCAACCTATCCGGCTATCCAAAAAAGGCCCACAACTTTCACATCTTTTCTTTGCGGGTGATATCATCCTCTTTTCCAAAGTTACTACTACGAGTTGCCATGCTATTATAGATGTAATAAATCATTTCAGTCACTATTTTGGAAAACGAATCTATTTTGCAAAATCAAAATTATTCTTTTCAAAGAACTGTCCACCGGGTGAGAGAAACTTCGTAATGGATTCTTTCCAAATCAAAGAGGGAATTTCTTTTGCAAAGTATTTAGTGTTTCCCATGTTCCAGTCACGCCCAAAGAAGAGTGACTTCCGATTCTTGTTGGACAATTTTAAACTAGACTAGCGGGATGGAAAACAAATTTCCTTACTTTGGCAGGACGTACTAGACTAATCAAATAAACTCTTAATACTTTACCTAATCATATAATGCAATACATCCACACTCCTCAAACCATCATACAAAAGATGTAACAATATCAACGCAATTTTCTTTAGGGAACTACTACTACAAAGAAAAGATGCATCTCTTAAAATGGAAGAAAATTACTAAATTTCGCGCATTAGGAGGATTAGGTATTCAAAGCCTACGTCAAAAGAACAATGCTTTGCTTGCAAGCCTAGCATGGAGAGTCTTCCAATCGCCGCAAACTCTTTGGGCCAAGATATTGATCAATAAGTACCTAAATATGTCCTCAATAACAAAACACTCGCCAACTTGGTGTAATATCTTCAAAGCATGGCAATATTGCCAACTTGGGTTACAATGGAAAATAGGCACGGGCACACATGTTAATTTTTTGAATGACCCATGGATCAAAGCTGGGACGACACTCCGTTCACTAGTAAACGGGCCATTACCATTAAATCATCAAAGCATCAAAATTGATTCCATTTATAATTATCAAGGATGGAATTGGGCACAGTTTCCTTTTGAATTAACTGAAGACATAAAACACCTTATCCTAACTCCATATATATCCTTGAAAAATAAAAAAGCTGATCGTATTTATTGGGCTCTAATACCGAATGGCAAATTTAGGGTTAATTCAATGTATAGGGCCTTGGAAATAACGGTGTAAACACTATTAGTCAATTTTAATAGATATGGAAACTACCTATACATACTAAAGTAAAACATTTCATTTGGTTACTTAATCACAACAGATTGCCAACACGTCAACTTCTTCAAAAACTCAATATTATCGCTGACGCCACTTGTCCATTTTGCCATGAGGCAGATGAAACTTTGAATCATATCTTTTTAACTTGTGCAAATGCTAGACACTACTGGCATAATCTGGGAATCGGGAGGCATATTAATGCTCTACTTTATTTGGATACACCTCAAAAATGGCTACTCCCCTTAATAAATTACAAAGACCTAAAGTTACCATACAACATTAACTCACATACTTACTTACCTTTAAGCCTTTGCAACATTTGGATCACTCGTAATAGAAACATTCACGATGGAATTCGTACAAGTAAAAAACATAAATTTTAGAACACAACATGCCACTGAATTTTCTTATCTAGCAGCTTCATATTACAAAGTGCCACAACGAATCATGACCCCTCTTAAATGGATACCACCTAAGCCTAACATTTATAAGTTAAATACAGATGGGGCTCACTCATCAACATTGAATACTGATGGCATTGGGGGACTAATTAGAAATCACCAAGGGGACTGGATTGTAGGTTTCTTAGGGAACATGCCAAGCCAATCATCTATTTCAGCGGATTTATATGCTTTGATACAAGGACTTAGAATAGCAATTCAACATAATCTCTCACCACTTTACGTGGAAATTGACGCAAAGGAGGTAATCACTATGCTACATTGTGATAATATAATACATGCTAACCTACTATTTGATTGCAGACACCTTCTGCCGAGGCTCCGTAATCCCCGGGTCCAACATGCGTACACAAAATCGAGTTGCGGATCAACTGGCCAAAGCAGGAAACTTTTTGGAAGGCAACATTACATGCGAGTTTTTGATGCACCACCACTTTTTGTAAGACCTATTTTGGAAGCTGATAAGCAAGGACTAACAATTATGTGAGCTCTACCAGCGGCAACATGCGAATTTGACGATCACCAGGCTAGGACAATGGGGAGAAGCGGCAACGAACCACAAAATGGAAACATGGAGGCGCATCAACTATTATCAACACCCTTACGTTGTTGTGACAATAGTTCCATTAGGAATACCACAAACAATGTTCCTACTACTAGTAATAACTTAGATTGTAATATGGTGCAACTGGGGCACCAATGTCTTTGTATGCATGAGTTTTAATTAATGATATTTATCTTTCTTACCAAAAAAAAAAAAAACCAATTGAAGTAAATAAATCTCAAGAATTTTCATCCAAGGCCTTCCCGTTCTACATTAGGAAGCTTCTTAGCTTATTTGGCATGATTTAGAAAGAGATCAAACTTTTTAGTAGTCTCTAGAGTCTGTTACTCTTTTTATTTCCTTCACTAAGGTGATAGTTTGAAGTTTTGACCTTAATAGTTTGTATTTTGTAACTCATTTAAAGCCTTTTAATTTGCAAGTTTCACATGTGATGCATCATCTTAAGTGGAAGTTACTCAATCATTTGGTAAAAGAACAAACTATCACGGGATTATAATGACAGAATTATAATACGAGAATTCAATAATAACGAGATTATTTAATGATATATTTTTATTGGTAAATGTTTGGTTCATTGGATTAAAAGCAAAATATATAGAGTATATAACATAAAACATGTATTTGATGTATACAAAATAAGTTGGGATAAACCTTTATTTTTAATTTTAACCTTAGACCTTTCAAAAGACTTTGGGAAAATAGCCTTGAAAAAGGACATCTTTGTCATTGTAGTATCTTATCCCGGAATTAAATTAATTCAAGAATTATTATTCCACCCTTAATGTGGGATAGAATAATACCACAATTGTAATATAAAATATAAATTAGTCCCAAGATTGCTAATTACGAATTTGAAAATTCAATCAAACAACGGATAAAAAATAATCCTGCATCTGATCCTGAATTATTGTTGCTTAACTCACCAACCAAATGACTCATTAAAAATTATATTTGTGTCAAGTACTCAGGTAGAAGGCTATTTCCCCGGTCCCCTATTTTCTTTTTCAACTATCTTATGTGTGTCAAAATGTTGAGTTATTATAACAAAAAAATACATCATTTATGTTTGACTTTTGCCACCTAATTTCTGGAAACTTCAATCTTCAAACGCCAGTGCGATTCCTCTTCCTTAAGAAAAATGAGTTTCCTTCATCGTCCTGTGTCCATTTTCTTTCTTTTCTTATTTTTTAAATTAATATGAATATTTTCCCAACCCATGTCAATTAAAAATGGGCCGGATATGGGTCATTTGTAGTCGTACGGTTGACAGGCCCATTGCAACTGAAAGCTGGGCCTACCCAATTTTCACCAGCAACCAACCACCTTTGCGTCAGATCTAAGATAATCACCGTCCCCTTCACTCTTCTCAAACAAAAACAAAGCCATAACCAAACTCCTACGAATTCATAGCCCAAAAGAGAAGGGAAAGAAAAACAGAAGAAATATATTTATGTATTCAGAATAGAATAGAATAGAATTGAAATTCAATACAGATTCTTCTTTTTTAGCGATTCAATTACAGAACTCGAAAGGTATATGAATTGTTCATTTAATTTAATTTCATTTGATTTCCTGTATTTGAGTCTTTCAAATTAGGGTTATTTTGATAGTTTATCTGAATTTTTGATTTTCTTACAGTTCGATTGTTGAAGGTAATGGTGTTAAAAAAGCATTGATTAAAAGAATTGCAGCTGTATCGGATCGGATCGGATGGACAAGAATAAGAGCCGAACCGATCTGCTTGCTGCCGGTCGCAAAAAGGTAACCAATTCCGTACTCTTTCTTCTTTTGCACAGTTCTAAAACACTAGATGGTTTTTTACCATTTGACTAAGCCTGGGTGGATACCGATACTCGGTACTTATGCCGGTGGGAGGTGCAGGTACCTAGTGAAATAGCCGAGATGTGTTCATGCATGTGTTGCTAAAATGTAAAAAGCACTAGGTGGCTTTTTCCCATCCACCTGGCGGGCACAATTACCTGGTATGCAATAGTCAAGCTGCGCATGAGCTGGCTTGGACACTACCGTCATAAAAATGTGTGTTGTAAGTGGTAAAGATGCTAGGTGGTTTCTTCACATCTGCCCCTTGGTGGACAAAGTTACTCGGCACTTGTGCTAGTGGGAGGTAACAAGTAACCTGAAGGAATAGTTGAGTTGTGTTCAAGCTGGCTCAGGCACCTCCGTCATTAAAAGAGTTGTTTGTCTAAGCTGTATAATTGCAGTTGTAAAATATATAAAATTAGCGAAATTAGAGAAGTATAGCCAATCCTAAGCCTAGATAATAGAGGAGGATTTAGTTGGACGTAAAATAGTCTAATGATGATGAATCCTCTTAATACGGAATTCCGACACCTGGTCGTGCCGTATAGAGGAAAATGAGGATTCATATAGCTAATCCCAACTAGTTTTGGATTGAGGTGCAGAAGCTGATATGATAAGAGGAAATGGAGAAGTCAATGGTTGTAGTATTTCTTCTAGTGTTACCCTTTGCTTGCTATTAGTAAGCTTCTGTGACTGTGAACCACATATATCTTAGTATGTTATATCTGCATGACTAGCACGGGCACATATGTTTGTGCATTAATTTTTTTGTTTACATTGAAATTACTAAATAAAATAGAGATTAGCTGTGGGACAAGCTTCTTCAATCTATTTGCTATTGGTTATCCAATGTCTCTTCTTTACATTTATTGAGTACAACTCTTTCTCCATAAATATTGCTGGAGCATCTAATGTGATCCATTCTACCATAGGTATGAAAACCCCTTCGTGAAACAAATTAGGTGAAAAGAAAATAGGGAATTTAGAGAACTAAGGAGACCACTTTGGGCTTATGGGTGATTTTGACTTTGAGGAAAACTCAATAAAACCTAGTTAAATACTTCAATGACCTTGATAATTCATTATCAACCTGGATAAACCACCCCCTTGTCCTTTAGTTTATGTTGTTATGACTAAAATAGATATTGGAGCTTCCAGGATATCGGTAGAGGAAGTAAGGTAGCATGGAGAACTACACCATTGTTTGGCTAATTTGGAATGGAAGAAATAGGAGAATATTCTAGGATGCTGATTTTTTTAAAATTGCATCAATTTCTTTTTCCAATTTCATGTATTATTTTGGTGTAAAGAGGAGATACCTACACGTCCAGATCATTGAGATAGTAGATGACTGCGGGTAAATTTATGTATCGATTTTTAACACCTACTTGGTGTGATATTAATGGATCTTATTTGTTTTATAGCCTGTTTGGCCAAGCTTCTAAAATCAACTTATTTTGAGAAGTGCTTTTTCTCAGAAGTACTTTTCGAAAAAGTGCTTTTGGTGATAAGCAGTTTGTGTTTGACTAATTAATTTGAAAAGCACTTTTGAGCAGTAATTAGCGTTTGACCAAGCTTTTAAAAACTACTTCTAAGTTTATTTTTCTCAAAAGTGCTTCTCAGAAAAGTGCTTTTAGAGAAAAGCTACTTTTTTCTGCTTCTCAGAAACTGCTTCTGCTTCTTTTTAAAAGCACTTTTTTTCCTTCTAAAAACTTGGCCAAACACCTCAATTTTTTTTTGATAAAAAACACTTTTGGCCAAAAAAGCACTTTTGGCCCAAAAATACGCTTGGCCAAACAGGCTATTATCCCCAAAAGAGAAAAAAGCAAAAGTTGAAAAGCATAGGTACTAGATGCATCACTCCATAAGGGAGCATGACCGTAAATCAGAGCTATTCACCTCATGAGTGAAGATAGGAAATCTCTGGGATTCCAACTCACTCAGCAAAAGTTGAAACGCAATAGTGTGTTTGCTGCTTATAATGTTTTTATTTAATCCTTCCCCAAAAAGAAATACTTTAAGCAACAAACACCTAATGCTTATATCTACTATACACTCGTCCCAGCATGCTTTTCAAGCACAATACTTTGATCAAAACGTTATATATCTCTTGCTTTATGAATGATAAAAAAAATACATCTCTTCCTTTATGCTAGTTATGAAAAATTGGGCTATAAGTAGGGTTATAAACCTTAAAAGCTCTTGAACTCTTTTTGCTCCTAACTGCACTATCCACACAATAATTTCTATAATTTGTTGAAATTACAAGAGAATTGGGGATTTTATCATTTTTTTAAATGGAGAATTGGGGATATGATCATTAGGAGTGGTAATATAGGATTGCCCTAAAATTCTGCTAAATTATTCTTAATCCTTACTAAACCCAACAATAATTATGAGTTGATCTCGAAGCTAGGAAAACTCATGATGTAACTCAACCCAATCTCACTTAGAGGAAAAATATCTTACTTTCGAGTCTTGATCTTGATTGGGTTCACCCTAACTATTCTTTTCCTTCTTTCCATGACTGCTAAGAGCTGTCAAAAATCTCTAATACACATTAGGGTTGAAGCTTATATAGTTACAGTGTAAAAACACAAGAAAATCTCGAAAATATCGCATCGGCACGGGATTTACAGCGATTCCTTAATTCTTACATGCGCTGTAACCCTCAGCTTTGCATGCCCAACTATCCTTGTTTTACCGCATCACCGTACACTTTTTTTTTTGGGACGAGGTAGCCTTCTTTACTTCGGCCATATAGTCTCAGCACATTTATGGTCTCTCTGTGTGTATGCGTGTATGTAAACTGGTTAGAAAAAGAAAATTATGTCTACATAATTTTGGAAGATATTAAAGTTTGTTTGGTATGTTCTTTTATTTATCAAGATAATTTAATGACATATTTATGGTCTCTCTTGTGTATGCGTGTATGTAAACTGGTTAGAAAAAGAAAATTATATCTACATAATTTTGGAAGATGTCACATGTTCATGGGTGACTCAATGTGTTATAGGACTTATGACACTCATGTCTTGTGCCTGTGCTAGTATTGGAGGAAACTCAGATTAAAAAGATTTTACTGCTTTCATAGTGTTCTGTACGATATCTTTCATAAATTAAACCTATTCCGATTTATTCAGATTTAATTAATGTGATATTCTTATGTTTACCAGCTTCAACAATTCAGACAGAAGAAAGATGGTAAAGGTGGTAAATCAAGTAAAGCCAGTAAATCTGGCAGTGATGTTACTCTAGATCTTGTTAACGTGACGGCAAAGTCAGATCAAGTTCCCGATGAAGAAAAAACACTTCACAGAGGTGATGGTACTCCTACTTCCTCGGAGTCACTTACCGGAAAGGATGTCTCAGCAACACATGCTGAAGCTCCTCCTCTTGATGAGTCGCTCAACGTTGAAACAGTTGAAATGACATCAGCCAGTGGTAAGCTGGTAAAAGAGGATGCTGGTGAACCTGAAGCTTCTTTGAATTCAGATTCTGGCGATCGGGATATTGTTGGTTCATCTTCAATTTCTGAACATGCTAATGCCAAAATGTTAATCGAAGATGTAACAGACGCTTATTTGGAAGCTCCCAGAATTATTGCTTCTGATGTGTCCGCTAAAAGTTCCGCAACGGATGTGCCTGTTGATTTCTCCTCTTATTCCAGTGTTGATGAAGCAGTTGCTCACCAAGTAGAAGTGGAAAGGCCGCATGTACCGGAGCAGGTATCAGATGTAGGTTGTGCCTTCTCTCTTGACATCCATGCCCTTTGCATGTCATATATCCAATTGTGTGTATTTGCCTATAATGAAAGTCTCATTGTTGCTGGGTAGGGACAATGCAGGAATCACATAATTCAGGTTCGAAGCAAGGTGATTCAAGCAGTGAGGTAGAGATTGAAGGAGACAAGAAGCTCCCTTTGAACGAATCAACTGAGACTTCTATTAGCCAGACAGCCACTCTAGTGGGAGATGAGGGCAATGAGGAAACAAAAGCTGAATACATTCAACTCAGCGAGCCAAATAATGTTCCACCAGCTGTTTTAGCAACTCAAAATGCAGAAATAGCTGAGGACAGTGGTAGGCATCCAACTACTCTTGATTCTTTACCTGAATGGATGGACTCTCTTTAATAATTTCTCAAATGGTAGGTCATCAGATGGAAGATGCAGCTTCTGGTTTGCACGAGGAAGAAAAACTAGAAAGGCCTTCGAGTGATGGTGAATATGAAAATTACAGGGATGATGTTCGAATTTCTGACTCCATAGATATTGTTTCTGAGGATTCTGTAAAAACTAAAATGGTGAACATCTCATCGAGGTCAGATGAAAGTTATATTAGCTTGTATCAGCTGGCGGAGGTGGTACGAGACCTCGATGAAGATGGCTTTAGGTTCTTGCTCACGTGCAGAGAATCAGCTCCAAATGCACCTTCTTTGAAGCTTTTTGACAATTTTGAGAAGCTCAAAGAACAGCTATACCTAGCAAGTCTTGTAAAAGATGTCTCTTGTTTGCAGATAGCTGAAGAGTCAGAACTTCAGATGGAACTCAGTCGTCAACATCATACGTTGACCGATCAAATATCTGCGGCCAAAGCTTCATTGAATGACCTTGGAGAGAAGAATGATATCCTTGCTGATCAGCTTGCGCAGTTGAGAACTGAATTTCTATTGATAGTATCTGAAAGGGATGGCCTCCAAAAGCAGGTTCACGTTTCTAAAGGTGAGGTTGGAGAACTTTCTGAAAGAATAAATGAATTGCAGACTAATTTGGAAACATCACTTGGTGAAAATGCAAGTCTGTCTTCTGAGATGGTTGACTGCAGGAATTTGGTGGCAACTTTACAGGTTCGAAATGAGAGCTTAATAGGAAGCCTTAATTTGCTATCTGAAGAGAATAAGAAGCTTTTGGAGGAGAAGGAGAATCTTGTTTTTGAGAATGAAAAACTGGGAACAGAGCTAGCACAGTCTAAAACTTTGTTCGGATCACTGCAGTTGGAAAATGCGGAGTTGTCAGAGAATTTCACTTCTTTGAGTGAGGAGAAAAGGAAACTTGATGGAGAGAAGGAGCACCTACTCAGTGAGAATGAGAAACTGCTTGCTCAAATGTCGGATCACAAAAATGTTGTAGAAGCTCTTCAGGTTGAGAACAAGAACGTAAATGAGATTTTGATATCTGTAAAAGAAGCGAAAAAACAGCTTCAGGAGGAAAAACAGTCTTTGCTCAGTGAAACTGAGAAACTAGGGTTGGAATTTAAGGAGTCCAAGTCTCTAGCTGAAGCTCTGCAGATGGAAGTGGCCGAAGCAAAAGGGCATTTGATGGAAGAGAGAAACAAGCTTGAGGAGCAGAATAAGTATTTTCTCTCCGAGTCTGAGAAACAGTTACTTCAGTTGGCAGAATATAAGAACTCGTGCAATAAGGTGGAAGATGACCTGAAAGACTCAACTCTGCGTATTGAACAACTAACCGAGGAGAACATGCATCTGAAGAGAAGCTTGGAGTTGTTTGAAACGATGAAGACAGAGTCACCTAACCAAAGTAGCTTTTCATATCAATCTAGGGAAGCTGGACCTCAACTTGAAGTTTCTTGCCAGTCTAGCTCTGCACCCGCAAATCTGATTGATGATGATGGTTCAAAATGGTTTGGAGTTATGAAAAGACACGAGGAGGAGGCAGAGAGAGTACTTGAAAAACTTGAGAAAGCAATTGGAGATATGCACTCTCAGTCAGCTTCTATGAGTAGGTCATCTGGTAAAGCGGTTTCACCTGGTGTGTCAAAACTTATTCAAGCTTTTGAGCCAAAGGACCATGATGACGAGCACCATCCAGAGGAGCTTCAGTCATTTGAAAATCAAACAGATGCAGGTCCCTATGTGCTAATTCAAGGGCTAACAAAAACATTAAGAGCGTTGCTGAAAGATTTGGTGTTGGAAGCTGGCAACGGCTACCAATCTCTTGAGGGAGCGAAGAGCTGCAAAACAGCCGCTGTGGTTGCTGCTGAAGAACTCAGGGCCAAATGCCAGTCTATGAATGAACATATTGATCTTTTGGAAGGAGCAAACATTGAGCTAATGGTTTTCAATGAATCTTTAGGGGGATGTTTCTGGAATGCTAAAGAAAAGGAGGGAGAACTTATGGTCCTAAATGAAGCTTTGCACAAGCAAGAAGTCGCCGCAAAATCTGAGAACAATAAGTTAAGGGGGAATCTTAGCAGCTATCAGGAAAAACTATCTATTTTGCAAAATCAGCTGGGTGAAATGCGTGAAAGCTGCAAAGAAATGGGTTCTGATATCTCTAATCAGGTAGAAGCTCTTTATAGGGAAGTTGCTGACAGAGGATTAATATTTCGAGAAGAATGGAACTCTACAATTGATCAGGTTTTTCAGACACTTCGGAGGCTAGATTTGTCTGTTGAGACTGTTGGCTCCTCTTCGCCGTCAGGAATAGACCCTGGTCTAGGGTGCATAAACTTAAGTAGCCGTACTGCTGCATCTATCGATGCTGCCATCAATGTGATTGAGACATTGCAGGATCAAGTTGAAGCTTCTCGCCATGAGTCAGTGAGTACCTCCCGTGAAGTCAATGAGAAGTTAGACTTCCTGCAAGTTGAAAATGAAAGGTCTGCCAGTCTTTTGCATAAGATTTATAGTAACCTCAAGAAACTTGTGAATGAAAAGCCAGGGCATCTACAAGAAGCTGAAGTTGACGATCCTGAGAAATCAGTAGATCTTTCTCATCCTGGTGCTTTTGATTCCCTACTGGAGCAGTTGCAAAAGTTTCTTGATGAGAAAGAACAAGTTGAATTTGTAAATGGAAAGCTGAAGTCTGAGTTGATGGCCAGGACAAAAGATTTTGAAGAACTGAGCAAAAGATCCCTTGAATCAGATTCTATTTTAAAGATGGTTCAAGTGGTTGAAGGAGTCATTGCTTTAGATAGCTTTGAAACCAACATTAATGACCCATTATCATGTCTAGAGTCGCTGATCTCTCTCCTAGTTCAGAAGTGTAAAGAGGCAACTGAAGATGCGAGGTTGTCCAGGAAGGAATATGCTTCCAAGGAAGCACAAGTGATTGATCTGCAGGGACAAATGGATCACTTGAGCTTATTACTTGTTCAATGTGAAAATGAAGTTGTTGTCCTTGGGGAAAGTTTGAAGAGAGCTGAGGAAGAGGTTGTAGCTATTGGCTCGCAGTATCAAGAGAAAGTTGCTGATATTGAACAGTCTGAGCAACGGGTGTCAGCTCTAAGAGAGAAGCTTGGCATAGCAGTCACCAAGGGCAAAGGTTTGATTGTGCAGCGTGACAGTCTTAAACAATCTCTTGCAGACACATCCTCTGAACTGCAGAAACGCTCTGAGGAGTTGCAATTGAAAGATGCAAGGCTTCAGGAAGTGGAAATGAAACTCAAGACCTATTCGGAGGCAGGTGAGCGCATGGAAGCTTTGGAATCTGAACTTTCATACATTCGCAACTCTGCTACTGCATTAAGGGAGTCATTCCTTCTCAAAGACTCTGTTCTTCAGAGAGTAGAGGAGATTTTAGAAGATTTGGAGCTTCCAGAGCATTTCCATTCAAAGGATATCATTGAAAAAGTTGATTGGTTGGCAAAGTCAGTTGCTGGGAACTCTTTGCATCTGGCTGAATGGGATCAGAAGAGCTCTATTGGAGGATCATACTCTGATGCTGGATATGCACTCACTGATGGATGGAAAGAGGCGGCACAGTCAAACTTGGGATCTTCCGAAGACCTTAGAAGAAGATTTGAGGAGCTCCAGGGCAAGTTTTATGGGTTGGCAGAACAAAATGAGATGCTTGAACAATCCTTGATGGAAAGAAACAACCTTGTGCAGAAGTGGGAAGAGATCTTGGACGGGATAGATATGCCTTCACACTTGAGATCTATGGAGCCAGAAGATCGGATTGGTTGGTTAATGCTTGCGTTTTCAGAAACTCAAAACCAGTACAACTCTCTCCAACAAAAGTATGATAATTTTGAATCATCATTTGCATCAGCCAGCGCTGAACTGGAAGAGTCACGCAGAAAAATATCCGAGCTTGAGAGTGCATATCAATTGGTTGTCAGTGAGAAAGAGTTGCTTTTGAAGAATTTGGAGTCTCTTAACTTTGATTATGAGGAAATGTCAAGGAAAACTGCCCAATCTGACATAACTAATGATGATTTACGGAGCAGAGTAGGTGACTTGCAGAAGAAACTGAACGAAATGCTCGGAGCAGAGGAGCGTATTCATCATCTTGAAGGTGAAATAAGAAGATTGGGAGATATGGTCAAAGATGTCCTTCGGAATTCTGAGACAGATGATGCGTTATTTAGCTCTGGTAGCACTGAAGCTTTGGAACAGCTGCTTAGGAAGCTTATAGAGAAGTATACCGCTCTTTCTTTACCTTCTGAGTCTGAGTTAACACTTGAGCATGTTGATAAAGGGGCTGATCTCTCTCATGAAGAAAATAGAGAAAGTAATGTCAGGTGTGCTGAAGATGCAGATGGAGGTGCTCTCAGCAGAAAATTGGAGGATGCTCTCAGCGACTTGTTGTCCTTGAAGGAGGAGAGGGAGAATATTGTGTTGGCTAATCAATCATTGGTTCGTGAACTTGAAGAATTAGGTATCAAAAATAAAGAACTGCAAGATCTACTCAGTCAGGAGGAACACAAGTCATCTTCTTTACGAGAAAAATTGAATGTTGCAGTTAGGAAAGGCAAGTCCTTGGTGCAACATCGGGACAGCTTGAAGCAATTAATTGAAGAGTTGAATGGTGAGGTGGAGCGCTTAAAATCCGAGATCAAGTTGCAGGAAAATGCTATTTCAGACTATGAACAAAAGATAAAAGATTTATCTGTATTCCAGGAGAGGACAAAGACCGTAGAATCTGAAAGCTCATTCCTGAGAGATCAATTGGCAGAAAAAGACTCTACCTTGAGCATGATTTTGAGTGCCCTGGATGATGTTAATGTTGGGTCTAACATTGGTAATCCTGTCGAGAAGCTAAAAACTGTTGGGCAATTATGCCATGATTTGCAGTCAGCTCTTACTTCTTCCGAACATGAAGCAAAAAAATCTAAAAGAGCAGCTGAGCTACTTCTTGCAGAGTTAAATGAGGTGCAAGAAAGAAATGATGGGCTACAAGAGGAGCTAACAAAGTCTCACAGTGAACTCTTTGAACTGTCCAAGCAAAAAGAATCTGCTGAAGTTGCCAAACATGAGGCTCTTGCACATTTAGAAAAGCTATCTTTTGCTCACTCAGAAGAAAGAAAGAACCAATTAGCTGAAATCACGATGCTAAAATCTGGTGTGGATCAGCTAAGGGAGGATCTCTTTGTATTTGACCGTTTGCTCAATGATGTTCTATCCATGGATTTGGAGACTATGCGCAATCTCAGTTCTAGTATGAAAGTATGCCTAGAATCAACTGATCAAAATCACTTTCCTCTACTTGTGACTGATGCTTCAAGTGGCCTTAACTTTGCAGAAGCGGAAAACAAGGTACCACAGTTTTATGTCATTTCATGTCACTTGTCTTATTTTGAATGCTTATAAATTTCTTTTTGGCTGAGCGCTATCAAGTCTATCACTTTCCAGTTCCATGAATAAGCTAGCAAAAGATTATCAAGAAAATAGCTTACTTCTTTCTGCGGGTTGATTTGAAGATTTTTCATTTTTTTGGAAAGTTTAAAAATTTCCAATCAGCTTTTTAACCTAGTTTCTGTGATGATGTGGCATCTTTGAATAGTTAAGAATTTCGATAATCCTATTAAGGCTGATTAAAGGTGGATTTCCTCTTAACATTGATTCTGGGCTGAGAACATACATTATAGGACATGCTTCACTATTTGAAGTTTGCTAAGGTAGTTAATCTCCAAATATTTTGGTGGAGGAAAAAAAGATTCTTATTTTTTGCGGGACAAGGAAAGGAAATACATTATCACGTCACATTTTGTTAATCTCCCTTGCAATTGGTATGGAAAAATAAGGAGAAAATGACTAGTATAAGATCCAGAATCTCTTCCTATATGTCTGAGAAATGTACCAGACATATATTAGTAAATCCTGTTAGCGTCAAACCTTGTGAAATTCGCTGGTACTGATATATAGCAGTTCTTGTTGATTTTGTACCAGTTTAGGAACAGGCAATTTATCACAATTTTCGCGTCTGTTGATGAATCTGTGACGTACTTTTTAATGTGTTCCCTTCTGATCTTGTAGTACCAAATGACCGTTCTGTATTACACATTTCCTGCTTCCATAGTTTGTTCTCATTGCTTTCTATTGTGCTTTCAATTACTTCTGCCTTGAATTGCTGTTTACATTGTTTAAATTGAACTGCTGTTTACATAAAATTTAAATATACTAATGCACTTTTCAATTTTCATCCTCATCTGTCCTTCTCTCCTTAAAGAATATTCTAGGTTTTCGCAGATCTTTTTCAACTTTTTGTTTCAATTTATATTCCTCCAAATGCTTAGATGACTGAGAACTGAAAGGACTATTGAAGTAATAATGTTTGTGTACTTGCTGCAGGTTTTCAATAAAGAAATTGGTTCTATCAACGTAAAGTTAAACAGGCATTCCCGTTTATTGCATGAAGAAACTGCCCATATATCTGAAATATTAAGAACCATACATAAAGAAATATCCTACCATATGCAGCACTCAAATTCGTTGAAGACAGAGGTGATGCGGTTAGAATCTATTCAAAAGGAGAAAGATGCAGAATTGTTTACTGTGCAAAGATACAATTCTATGCTTTATGAAGCTTGTACCACTTTGGTCATGGAAATGGAAAGCAGAAAATCCGAATTGGCTGGAAACAGCTTAGCTACTGGAGCTTCCAGAATCAATTCAGTGTATCGAAGTTTAGCTGAAGGAAATGATTTAGCTGAGAAGACTGACCAGTTTTCTGAGGAAGGTATTAGGTCAGTAATAGAGAAGTTATTCATGGCTGTGAAAGATATTATGAGTCTGCAAAGTGATATTGCTGAAGTTGGCCAAAAGGATATGCGAGCTGCTATATCGAATCTTCAGAAAGAACTTCAGGAGAAGGATATACAGAGAGAAAAAATATGCGCAGAACTTGTTAGTCAGATTAAGGAAGCTGAATCTGTTTCAAAGAGTTATTCACAAGAGCTTCAAATAGCAAAATCTCAGATGAATGATTTACACAGGAAGGTGGACCTGATGGAGGAGGAGCGAGATTCTCTGGCACACAGGATAAAAAAACTGCAAGATCAGGAGTCTAGCTTTGCTGACTTACAGTTAAGAGTTAAAGCACTTGAAGACATGCTAGCTGCAAAGGAACAAGGTGATTTTATTGAGCTCAATTTCCAGCATTTGAACTTAATTCTTTTGTTTGTTATCAGCTTTAAACCAAACTCTAACATCTAGAAGTATTTTCTATTTTTGTATGACTAGAAAATGAGGCACTGATGCAAGCACTTGATGAGGAGGAGGCCCAAATGGAAGACATGACAAACAAGATTGAAGAAATGGAGAGAGTCCTACTTCAGAAAAATAAAGATATGGAGAACCTTGAAGTTTCCCGGGGGAAGACTATGAAGAAGCTTTCTGTTACAGTAAGCAAATTTGATGAACTTCATCAACTATCTGAAAGCCTTTTGTCTGAGGTTGAGAATCTTCAGTCACAATTACAAGAGCGAGATACAGAGATTTCTTTCTTGAGGCAAGAAGTTACAAGATGCACTAATGATGCAATAGCTTCTGCTCAGATGGGTAGCAAAAGAAATACTGATGAAATCCGTGACTTTTTGACATGGGTTGACAAGATGATTTCCCGAGTCCAGACGCATGATATGAATTATGATGATGCAAAAATTAACCAGATTCATGAATATAAGGAAATGTTAGAGAAGCAGTTCGTGTCTGTGGTATCTGAGCTGGAGGATCTGCGTGCACTGGCACAGACGAGAGATTTAATGTTGAAAGTAGAGAAAGATAAAGTAGAACAGCTGGTTAGGAAAGAAGAATTTCTTGAGAACTCTTTGCGTAACAAGGAATCTCAATTAACCATGCTTCGAGGGGCCAGTGACATGGGGCAACTAGTAAATTCTACGTCGGAAATTATAGAGATAGAGCCAGTGGTATGTCATTTCATTTATTTTGTTCTATTCATCAATTTTATTTTTTGGTTCCATCAAGCTGCCTAACGGTTTTATAATTGATAATATTACATATCAGCCAATTAAGGTGAAGCATATTAAAAGATTTATTTGTTTTGTAGATACTTTTGTCTTCAAAATCTGAATATGCTTGATTGCTGTTCCTTATTCTCCATTTAGTAATCAAATAAAACTACGACAAAGATCCAGCATATCAGTAGTACAAGAATTAGCAAGTGATTTGTTTCATATTATCATCATATACCTATTGGATGAGCTCTTGTACTTTGAACAAAATCATCTATTCCATTGTCAGTCTTGTACAGACACCTAGAGGGAACATTAGCTTTTGATATGAACTAGGTCAAACTGGAAGCAGGTAGGATTTGCATTAAATTAGATAAGCGTAAAGGGATTTACATATCAGTGAACTGGAAATTTAAAGTTCATATCTGCAATGAGGTGAAATGTCGGACATGAAAAATACAAATGCCAAATGCTGCAAGATTTTGTGGCTCTCCGTTACCAAGATTTCCTGAAAGATCTGATTCAGGGGAATGTTGTACGTACCTTTCCCCAAAAAAAAAATGATGCAACAAAATTTCTGGGAAAAGCGAGCAAAAGGAGGAATAGGTGCTCTTGAGAACAAAGAAAGACGCTAAAAGGTGTGGGATATATTAGAATGAGAGCATGTCTGCCATGATTCCTCAATAACTAAACAGACTGCCGTTGTCCTCCTTTGGTGGAAGGAGAACGTGTGAAGGATGTACTAATAAATGAATTTCTGAGGATGCTTATTGAGTCTGCTCTCCACATCATTCTGTTCTAAGTATATATGTACTTCATGACAACCTTTACTAAAGTTTGAGATCTGGAGGAAAACAATAAAGTCACTTCCGACTTAAAAAAAAAAAAAAGAATCACTTCCCAGGAAATCTCGAGCTCTAAATTTGATGTGAGAGTTTCCGGAGATCTTCTTGAGGGAAATTTTTGTTTGGATTATTGTTTCTAGAGAAAAGTTCTCAGAAAACAAATGTGTATAGATTGGTTCTTTTGGAGACGGGAAACTATAACAATCCTCTACTATGTAAAAATATGGACCATTGCTTCAGTGATCCTAAAGAAATACTAATATAGACTTGTACTAATATTTTTACCGGAAACAGCCTCTCTGCCTTCTTGAAGGTAGGGGTAAGGTCTGCGTACACTCTACCCTCCCCAGGCCCCACTTGTGGGATTACACTGGGTTGTTATTGTTGTTGTTGTTGTAGACTAGTACTGATATTTTAGCATCAAACAATATTACAAAACTTAAGGAAAAGATAAATAGTTATTTTGCATTTTTTGGACAATAGCAGAAGATGGAAGGAATCATAAATGAAGTATATATTTAAAAACAAGTTGAAAAAGGGAGGATCAAAATGATAACCTTTTAAAGTTTGGGGGATGTTTGTGAAGTTTTGTTTGGGTTTGGTTTGATACACAACAAAAGACACTCGGTTTCTGACTCTCTGCTTTTCCTCTTATCCATTGATGCGGATGGTCTAACACACTGTATGGTCTACTCTGGGTTTAAACTGGATTTGGGCAACATTTGAGCACAGATTCTATTATCAGCCTTTCACATGCCCAAGTCTCTCTCTTTTTAAGGATGGCTTCATTATATACATATGTAAACTTTTTTGAGTTTTGATTTCAGATTGAATGAGTACACATTCTTGGACGATGGTAGTGGTAGTAATGATTATCTAGTAGTGCTTGGCTAATAAGGATTATTATGTGTGAAAGTGACCTTGAGTTTAATCGCTGGTTTTTACAGGATTTCTATCAATATAATATAACAGCAAAAGGAAGTTGAAATGTATTTTCAAAAGTTTATGATGGTAGAGAGAGTTAATTTTTTCAGATTCAAGATGTTGAATACTGATTTAATATCACCAAGCTATGGACCTGTAGTAAGAGTGTGCTTAGTATAGAAAACCAGTCTGAATTGGAAAATGATAATAGCATGCTATGGATTAGCCCTGAAAGGTCTTTGTATTTCATCTCTAATAGTATCTTTAGTATTATGTGGCTAAGCATCATGTTCTTGCAGCTATACTTCTTGGCATTATTGTTTTTTTTTATCGGTACACTTATTGGCACTATTTTCTTCTGCTCTTCAAATGCAGGCCAACAAAAGGGTAATGCCTGGAACTGTTGCATCTCAAGTTCGCAGTTTGCGCAAAACTAATAATGACCAAGTAGCTGTTGCGATAGATGTGGATCCTGAGAGTGGGAAACTAGAAGATGAAGATGATGATAAGGGTAATGACTTCCTATTGCTAGTATATTTGAAGAATCAACATTGAAGTCTGATTGTTTGATAACATTCTTTTTGATTGATAAACATGTTTACTGTATTGGATTATCTTGTTACTCCGGTTATATAGTAAGTTGACTCCAATATTGATTCTAATGTCAAATGGTTGGAGATTGAGCTTATGTTCACTGTGGTTGTGGAAGGCGGCTTTGTTAGGCTGTAGCATAACGCATGAAGGTTTTTTCAAACATCATATCTTCAGATAACATTTTTTCTGCTCTTATATAATCTCGATGATTTCGCTTCTTTAACCTTGTGTTTCATGCTTTGTCTGATGTCTCCTTTATTTTGCTTATACTCATTCTTGATGGGAACTAGATTGAGTTTTCCTGATGATAGATAATCTTAGAAAAACGGTATGGTGTTAAGAAGGCACTCCGATGATTGGTTGACAAAACTAAATTCCTTTCTTTTCCCTTTTCTTTCCTTTCCTTTTCTCTTTTGGGTGGTCGGCCACAGGGTGTGGAAGAGGGTATTGGTTTTTTTTTTACATTTGTATATATGTGGTTGTGGAGCTTTCTGTTAGAATCTTTGTTTGTATTGAAGATGAAATCCCTAGATTAGTGCTAAATTTACCTGTTTTGTCTTAGTTACATTCATTCCCGAAGTCTTCTTGTCTTCTTCTCCTTATACCTTTTGAAGGGTGGTTTGGTTGGTATTCACATCTTCAGACTGCTGATATCACCTTTCTTTCCTCTCAGCTCATGGTTTCAAGTCGCTAACGACATCAAGGATTGTCCCACGGTTTACAAGACCCATAACTGACATGGTCGATGGTCTATGGTATGACAAATCTCATCCCTTGCTTTCATTTTATATGCATTTGGTTATCTAACAAAAGCCATATTGTGTCTGAATTCTAGGGTATCTTGTGATCGGACATTGATGCGGCAGCCTGTTCTACGGCTTAGTGTGATCATCTATTGGTTTGTGTTGCATGCTCTTCTTGCGACATTTGCAGTATGAGAAGAATAGGTCAGTTCTCTCATCTCGTCTCCCGTCCTTTTGTTTTCTGTTGTGCCTTGCTCCTAGTATTGGGTTGTCTTTACAGCTTTCTTGCTGTATGTGGAGAATTAAGTCACCTAAATAAAACGATAATAAGATCCTCATTATTTTAACTTTGAATTGTAAGAGACTGGAGTTTGGGAATCTTGGAATGCAATTATCGCCTGCCTTGTTTTACTAATCTTCGCATAGTCAGAATTGAACACCTAACATGCCTTAATTTGATGAAATACAGTTTGCTTCCATATTCTGCAGGTCCGTTGTCTGATTTTCTCACTGTGATTAGTTGTGGAGTCACGGCAAGATAGTGCACTGATGTCTTCACAATTTTCTGTAAATCATCCAAGTTAGTTTGGCTAGATTTTGGCTGATAATTCATTATTTTGCTCAACCAGGAATTTGTGATTTGTTATGTTTTTTTGTGAATCACGTTCTTGGTTGTATTCATATAGGCAATCCGTAGCAGTGTATCCAAATATGAGATTTCATAGCAGTAGGGGCATATGGATTGGAAAATTAGTTTAGTGACAGCAGAATCGAAGATCTGTAATTTTTTACTAGTACCCATTTGTTACAGTTTTTTCTTAATAAGAAATGTGTAGGTTGCTTCTTGTACTACAGCTTTGCTTTCGTGTCCTTATAGTATTAGGTTTAGGTGCAGCGACATACACAAGAATTTGAGCATAAAAATGTTGGAATTGACCTCTGTTAACATGAGTTCGATTTTGGTGGGGATTATATTGTGATGAAATGGGAAATTATGGCAAGTGTACGATTTTTTTTCGTCCTAATATTTTACATTCATCAAATGTTTCATGTGAGTGATCATACTGTTTAGTTGTTTAAAAGACATTCTTAGATGATCCACGTTAGTACCTATTACCGACATGGTCAGAAGCTTTGCAGCACTGAATTAGTTGTATGTAATCTGGATCTTGATATTGTACTACCGACCATCTATTTACACTCTCCTGTTTGCTACAAAATTTAATACTTGTTATGAAACAATAAAAGAAGAAGAGTATTGCAGAGAAAAATAGGAAGAAGAGAGAATTTTTATTGATTTGGGATGATTTACAATGGAATAGGATCCCTCTATTTATAGGGGAAAATGGACTTAGCCCCAAGTAACAAGCCTTAAAATCTTTTTAAAATATAGACATTCACCTTAAATAGAATTCTATTTATAACACTCCCCCTTGAATGTCTATCTACAAGATAATGTGACTCGTTAAAACCTTAACTAAAATAAAATCCAGTGGAAAAAAAAATTCTAGAGAAGGAAAAAGAGTACACATATCTAACAATACGCCTTTTGGTTGCCTCGTTAAAAACCTTGCAAGGAAAATTCAGTGGGACAAAACCTTATAAGGGAAAAAGAGTACAATGCGTATTAACTTCCCCTGATAAGAGCATCAATTCACATCCTTAAGCATTTGCATTCCAATCTTGTGCACCATCTTCAAAAGATCTTTGGTAGAGATCTGATAAAAGAATCAGCCATATTAACTTGAACAAATTTGTTTCACCTTGAAATCATCATCCCTAATCGATGTATTGTCTTCGTATGATCTTGTTGGAATCATCATTTCAATATCTTCGCATAGGGGTGAAAACTCTTGCTATCATATTGTCATGCTTATAGTTATAGCAAGAAACATATGTGCACAAATTGCATTTAGGATATGGTACTTCAGGACCAAGAATTGTATATGCTTTAAGCGATCCTTCAAGGATTGGCATATAAGTTAAGTCATATAATAGACTTCAATTAGATGCATATCAAGTTTTCATGTCATGCTAGACAAATAAAATATCGAAAACTGATTACACATACCATTGACTTTATACGTTCAAGTATTTGAACTACATGTTCAAAACTACATGTCTTTCATATGAAACTAATTCTATTCGAAATTGTTTCTCCAGACTTAAGATCCTCATATATATTTAGCGCTATTATAGATGTCGTCGACAAATATTTTATATCGATTCTAACCTCCTTATTTTTCATAAAGACATAACATAAGATCTCTTCATTCATATATTCAGGTATCTGAATCTCTCATGAGATTTTGTGAAGTGTTATGTCATGTGATCTTCTAGATCACTTGCCTCCTTATTGATCATTATGATCATTTGCTCATCTTCTATTTCAAGAATTTTATTTGAAATCGATTTGTCTATACGCTTTAAGAGTACCATAGACTTTGTCCTTCTAGGACTTAATAGGAGCATTTGCAATGAGAATATAGTTACTTTCTTTGGGTCAGTAAATGCGTCTGGCATGCTTTGCAATATATTACAAATTAATTATCCTTTTATGAACTTCAAGTTCATATTATCTTATTCGAGGATCTAAATGTACAATTGATAATTTATTCCACGTAACTTTTTCTCAACTGTTTATCTTTTCTCCCCCTCATGTTAGAAAAACTAACTTGCACTCAACTTTGAAAATCCACCTTTGTGCGTTATGGTGTTAATCAAAATATGCACCGCACATCAATAATAATAAGATGGAATTATTTGGTTCCTGATCCCGAACCACTTGTGAGGGGAGAATATAATATACTTCCGTATATAACGTATATCAAACTGATATATATAACTTTGTTCTCATAAGCAATAGTTTAGCTATTAAGTGGAGGCACTCAATAAATTATTTTGCTAAACCAACTGTGATGTAAACCAACTTATCAAGATGAACTGAAAATCTAGAAATTGTGCTCGAAATTAAATTATTGAGAAAGCTACCTCGCAAACACCATGTTGCGGGTTAATAATAATCGCATATGTAACCATCTCATAGATGCATCTTATGTGGTATACATGGCAGGTGAATGGGCCCATATTCACCTTTGATATTTCCAGCATCCATGAGATTCAATCCTAATTTTAGTTGGTCAATTAATTAATGAGAACAAGCAATATAAGAGAATTCGTAAAGAACTTTCTAGTTCTTTAATATTTACCCATGTGAATTCTCTATTATTTTTGCACATCATACTTAAATTGATATGGCTAAACCAATTATGCCAACTTAATAAATTAATAATATTGATAAACTTCAAATTTACACTATGACGTGTGCAATTATCAATAAACTCCAAGTTTATTATGATATGAGATTTTATATAAATAAACATCAACTTTATTGTGGTATTCTTTTATTTGTGCAGTACAAGCTGGAGAATAAAGTGGGTAATTTTTCACATACATATTACCCCGCTACAAGTTGTAGTAATAGAAGATATTAAATCTTTCCTTTATATATAGTCTCAGTATGACCAACCACTTTCGCGAATACTTTAGAAACTCAATTAAGTTTCTTTGAGACTTACTATAACACAATGCCTTATTGATAATCAATTTTTATTCCTCCAACATAGTATAATTGTGTCATGACCCAAACTCCGCCCCGGTCGTGATAGCGCTTCTCGTGAAGACAAGGCCAGCCAGACCATTCCAGAACACCTCTTTTAAGCAGTTAAACAGTTCATAAGCAGTTTAAATATGATTTCATGATATTAATTAGCGGAAATACAACCCAACACAGCCCTAATCGGGGTGTCACAAGTCATGAGCATCTATTAGAGTGCACATCCAACTACAAGGTCTAAAATATACAAAATCGGAATAATGAACAAAAGAGAGAAAAACGGTGCTGCGGACGTTGGCAGTCACCTCGCTCTCCTATAACTCTGCCTCTGATCAGCCAAAACCCGCTAACGGGTGGATAAATACCTGCATCTGCACATGAGGTGCAGGGAGTAAAGTGAGTACTCCAACTCAGTGAGCAATAAAGGTAAATAACATCTGAGCAGTAAGAAATCACGCATAACAAATCATCATGCTGTATAGAGCAGTGCAAAACCCTTTTGAGAAAAATAGTGAAACGGTGAAATCTTTAGAGAAATATCTTAGCTCAGTTTATATCTCTTTTGAAAATGACTTTTTCAGCGATCACGCAAATGAATGCAAACAAATAGTGCAGATAAGCACAGAAATTCGCCCCTCGGCACAACACTCAGTCATTAGACAATGCTAGTCAATCAGGTAGATATTGCACGAAGTAGCACAGACAACAGATAATGGCAGACAAATAAAATAAAGTAAACACATAGAACAGTACTAGTACCGCTGCGGCGTGCAGCTCGATCCAGATACCGCTATGGCGTGCAGCCCGATCCATTTATCGTCGACGGCGCTCACTGGGGTGTGCAGACTCCGGGAGGGGCCAATTACGGCCCAAGCGCAATATCAAGCCATCTCGTGGCATCAAGTCTAGGCCCTCGGCCTCATCTCAGTATCAGTATAACACTGCTGCGGCGTGCAACCCGATCCAAAAGTATCCTCACACACAGGCCCTCGGCCTTACTCAGTCAAAAATCACATAAGCCCCTCGGGCAACAGTAAAACATGCTGCTCAGCCCAAAAATAGTATAGAAAATATCATTTCAAGTGTTAAAGCAAAATAAACTTCGCTGAGTTTTGAAAACAGTGGAAAATACATGACTGAGTTCAAGTATAAAATCAAACAGTGAGGAAATATCAACAACCATCCCCGAAGGGGTTCAAATAATTGGCAATCAACCCAAATATGGCAATCAGCCCAAATTATGATGATAACAAATAAGTTTCAGTCAAATATGCGGTAAAATCATCAATCTGGACAGACCAAGTCATGATCCCCAACAGTAAAAGACCTCACGCTCATCATCCAGCATGTGTCTCGCCTCAATACAGCACTACGATGTGCCATCCGGGGTTTCAAACCCTCAGGATATCATTTACAATCATTACTTACCTCGAACCGGCGAAATCTCTAGCTCGCGACGCCTTTGCATCTCAAATCGGCCTCCACGCGCGTCGAATCTATCCAAAATCAGAACGAATACATCACAATATGCTAAGGGAACAAAGCCCAAGCGAAAAAAATCAAAAAATATGAAAAATTCCGAAATTAGCAAAACTCGAGCCCCGGGCCCACTTCTCGAAACTCAGAAATTTTCACATCAACGGGTTCCTTATCTCGCCACGAGTCCATACATACCAAAAACTCTCAAATCCGACCTCAAATGGCCCTTAAATTTCCAATTTAAAAATCTCAAAACCCAAGCCCTAGTTCTTCCATTTTTAGTTAAATTCCCATGAATTTCTAGGTAAATTTCACAATATAATCACGTTTTTGGTTCATAGAACTTACCTCCAATCAATCCTCCTTGAATCCCTCTTCAATTTCTCCCAAAGAGCTCTCAAAATACTCAACAATGGTGGAAAAATGACCTAGGCTCGCGGATGAAATATTTTAAAAACCCTTCTGCCCAGCTATAATTTCCTTCTATGCGATCGCGGCCCCAGGATCGCGATCGCAAAGAGTAAATTACCAAGGCTTCAAAAACGTGCTGTGCGAACGCGACAGGAGCTCCGCGAACGCGATGCTTTACTTTCCAAACCTACGCGAACGCGGCTCATATGATGCGAACGCGAAGAATAAAATATGCTGGCCCCCAGATCCTCTTATGCGAACGCGGGCTATACCACGCGAACGCGAAGCTTCCGCTTCCAATACTATGCGAACGCGACCCTATGACTGCGATCGCGAAGGCAAAATTTCCTCTGCAATAACTGCTGAAATTCTGCAATTTCTTCCAAGTTCAAAACTCCCCGATAGCCATCCGAAATCATCCCGAGGCCCCCGGGACCTCAACCAAAAGCACCAAAACATCCTA